AGAGAGAGAGAGAGAGAGAGATGGAGAGAAATTGAGAGAGAGACGGAGAGAAATGTACGAAATTGGATAGGATTAACGCCCCTTGCACCACTGTTAAGTTATTCAAGAGGCGAGACCTCCGATTTGTTAACGCTCATATCCAACACGACCGAGCCAGATGAGAAAATTCGTATAGAAGAAAGCACCTTTCCCAAGGAAACAACATCGGACCAAGCTGAGCCTTGAACCCCCTAATCCACAATCTCATGATGACGAGTCCAGTATCTTATTTAATCATTGAACTACTGACGCCACCTTTCAGCTTTTGGTTATTATTATAACTTTCTAATCCGCTTTATTGATATTTTAGCCGGGTGGGGGTGAGGTGGGGGGCGCTTCTTCTTCTTTTTAAAAAAATTTTTGTTTTAGAAAAGTATCATTGCACTTACAAAACAAATAGGTTGTGTAAATGCCAAAGATTAGTGGTGTTACTTAGAAAATAGCAACATAAAAAGAAAATGAAGATTAGAATGCTGGATGGTAAAGAAGGAGAAAACCACATCAGAGTGCCCGCCAACTGCCAACTTTATCGTCACTATTTAGATCATTATCATAAGAGGCAGCCTGCTTCGATGCTGCTTTTTAGGCCCAGTATCCCAAAGGTAACACGGAGAGACTCGGTAAAGCAGATATCCCTCATGAGAATCGAACCCGAGTCTTCTTCGTGCAACGGCGAAACCCTAAACCAGTCGTGGGCAAACTGTACACTGTTTTAACGTTCTCGTCAACACCTCACGATAGGATAGGCGTCTGTGATGTAGCGGCCACACGCATGCGACGCGAGTTCGATTCCCGAGTGGGGATTTTGTTATGGAGTACATGCTTCTCCATCTCTCTGGTAAGACGTGGTATCATCTCTTTAAACCCGTGTTGACACTGACGAGCAGGGTTGAAGTAGCCCTCAATTTTCTCAGTAGTGCAAAAACAGCTCCTTCAACCATGCAACCCACAAACAACCAGCAACTCGAAACCAAACCAAACCAAACCAAAACAAACCAAACCAAACCAAACCAAACCAAACCAAACCAAACCAAACCTAACCAAAACAAACCAAACCTAACCAAACCAAACCAAAACAATTCAAAACAAAGCTAAACAAAAAACAAAACAAAAAGGCTGAAATAAAGCTACTGTGTTGTCTTTTCCAGACGATGACGCGGATAACATGGTGGATGAGGACTTAAGCCATAAACTGCCAGGTAATGGAGTGTCCGCATGAGGCGTGAGTGGTTCGAGCTCTGTATCTTACTCACTGGAGTTTGGAATTTTCATGTACATTCCGTATCGAACTCATCAATCTCAGTAACTCTCAAAACAAAAGAGGGGGATTTCCACTTTTTGTGGGGGGGAGGAGGAGGAGGAAGAAGAGGAGGAGGAGGAGGAGGAGGAGGAGGAGGAGGAGGAGGAGGAGGAGGAGGAGGAGGAGGAGGAGGAGGAGGAGGAGGAGGAGGAGGAGAGAGAGAGAGAGAAAGAGAAAGAGAGAGAGAGAAAGAGAGAGAGAGAGAGAGAGAGAGAGAGAGAGAGAGAGAGAGAGAGAGAGAGAGAGAGCTCTCGTGGTCTAGGGTATAGGGTACAGTGTTCGTATCTCGGTTTTTAAAAAAAGTACATGGATTGAAACCTGTTAGCGACGAATAAATTTCTATATCTAAAATGTTCTCCCTGTATAATGATATATAATAAATGATAAATAAATTACACTTTAATTTGACCCAGAAAGGGCACTTCGGTTTACAATGACAAATACATACGTAAATACATAATTATAAATACATTCATACATGAATACATGCTTAAATACATACACAAATACACCAAATTACACAAATACAGAACAGTTTACAACCATGCCACAGTCGGTCGCCACTGTGCAGCGCCCCTGCCCTGCTCTTTAGCCCTGGTCTTGTCTTCTTCCTTCGTCTCCATTTTCTCTTAGTTACTCTTGACTCCTCCTGCAGCTATTCCTCTCTTCTTTTTACTAGTGTCTTTCAGTCACATCCTTGATCTTGGAGTTGGTAAGATCAAACACCTTGCTTTCTCGGATATTATTCTAGTCAGTATTTTTAAAAAGATTATTACATAAAGTACCTTCCAAACTGGAATGTGGCTGCTTGAAAGTGAAAGAAAGGGGTCCTATGAAGTAGGAAAAACGGTCACATACGTAAAACTCTGTAGAGCTGCAGGTTGAAGAACCAGTAGTCAGATACCCCCCGACATTTATCAGGGGAACGCAAAAAAGTAGAAGTCTCTATGTGAAGGTTAAGGTGGAGTACAACTTCACCTCTTAAGGTATAGCAGTTAGGCGCACGTAGAAGACTTGAGTTATCCCCGCGTGAGGAGTATAATTTAGCAGTACAGAAGCATTGGAGAATATTGTAAGAACAGGCCAGTTTGATGTTAAAAGAGGCAGAGGCAGACAGAGGTAAAAGATACTGCTGCAACGCAAGACAGGGTGAAAAGGTGGTCCATGATCGCCCACGCCAGTCGGCAAGGCACCGGATGATGATGATGTTGGGAACATGACTATATCAAATATATCTAGAAAAAGTCAATACAATGAAGTTTGGTCTGAAATATCCATCGACACTGTGAAGCACACACCCAAACAGCGTTGGATATCGAGATTCTAGATCTAGATCTAGATTTGGAAATTGAAAGAATCAGTTGTCTCACACACACGACGAAGCATAAAGCGAAACGGAAGTAGTCCTCAGTAAAATATGAAATGGCTAATGGCAGAGTGAAAACACCCGAGAGCTTTGATTTACAGGAAAAACCATCAAACCTAAAAAATCAAAAGTTATTTTTCGAATTTTGAAAATATGCCTACGTAACCCTTTAAGACAATTCTTAACTGAATCATACTTTTGTACATTTTATGGGCACCTTTGTAAAAAATATCTTGAGTTAAATCCCCGCGTGAGGAGTATAATTTAGCAGTATAGAAGCATTGGAGAATATTGTAACACTCTGTCTTGCGTTGCAGCAATGGTGTCTGTTTTTCTTGCTGCTCCTAGCCATGTTGTCATCTTGTTCAGTATCTTTTACCTCTGTCTGATAAGAGTAGGCTTTGGTCGCCGCCTGGGCAAAATTCAAAATTGTTGCTCGTGTCCAACTATCTATCTATCTATCTATCTATCTATCTATCTATCTATCTATCTATCTATCTATCTATCTATCTATCTATCTATCTATCTATCTATCTATCTATGCGGAGACTGGCAGTTTCTATATCTTAGAACAATACCTTGTCATTACAGAACTCGGCGAATGCTTGGAGTGGGGCTCTTGGACTTGTTCTGTCACATGTGGGACAAAGGGCAACCTTTCCAGACATAGGTAGGTTGGTTTCTACAGACGCTGCGTTTGAGTCTTTTATTGTAGGTGTTTTTACGCCACACCCCCTCCACCCCCACCTCCCTCCTCTCTACTCCTCCCCAATCGAAACAGTTCAGATCATCAATCAGGAGGACTTCGATCCTGTCTGTAAGCGTCAACCCCTGATTGCAAGGGGAAAACAACATCCCAGCATAAAGACTGTGATGCTCGATACAAATTTTCCCTTCTCCGGATAATATGAACTCTTGTCTCTTGTATGAGACGGTGAGGCGTCTAATCGCTACACCACAGATGCCGTTTTTTCTGGGGGGGAGGGTTCGTAAGCGTTATATGACGCTCGCAACTGCATAAGGTCATATGAGCGAGCGGGACACATTTAACATTTTCAGTCGGTAGGAAATTTTGAATTTTGCCCAGGCGGCGACCAAAGCCTACTCTTATCAATTTTGGACCACCAATGGATCTTTATCGCACACGGACCTCCGAGATTTTTCTCCCTTGGCCGAGAAGGCTAGGTGTAGATCTTTCCTATCATAAGAGCATGGGTGTGACTGAAAGACAGCAGTAAGTAGGGGCTAAGGAGTAGTAGTAGGAAGGTTGCAGAAAGAGTCAGACGCCCAGAGGAGGGGGCAAAGGAGGTGAGGGGATGGGGGCAGAAGGTCGAGACGAAAGCAGACAGCAGAACATTGTTAGAGAGCAGGAAAGGATGTGAAAGTAAAACATGATAGGGAAGCAAATTTTAATTTTCCGTCGCTATCCGCATTCGAACTCACGACGTATTGAATGAGAGGCGAACTCCTTAACCACCAGACCACGAGACCCCCCCCCCCCCCCTTTAAAAGTAAGCAATCCCAACGATCTGGTTCATAGTGGTCAAGGTTAGAAAGTAACGCTTGCCAGTGCATAATTTATTTATTTTCTTATTATCAAATTATGGATTTCCGCGTTGCTTCGTCAAATTTGACCCCCGAATCCATTAATGCAAACTGTGATCAAACAAAAGATGTGACCTTCCGATTCAGACATGTGACACGTAGCAGCTCTGGGACAGACTAACGTCATGGCTTTCTTCAAATACACACGATGATGGCTTACAAAGGACAGCTGCATTTGATTTTAGAAGATAGGAATAGATTGTGGAGAAAAAAGGTAGATTGTGGCGTAGCTAGCCGAGCGGTTAGGCTCCCCGGACTTTCAACCGAAAGGTTGTGGGTTCGAATCCCGTCAGGGTCCCGACATTGTGTCCTTGGGAAAGGCAATTAATATGAATTTTCCTCACTTCACCAAAGAGGGATTGGATGTGTGCCTTTTATTTAACGTTTTCTAGGGACCTGACGCTTCAAGATGAAGGGCGCCAGTGGCAGGTCCTACGTCTCTTCTTTGCCACTATTGCTTTTGTTTGTCTATCTTTATCTTCTTGCATGCACAAATTTCAGGAGCTGTGAGAAACACCCGTCTGTCTTGCTGGGATACAATGAAGGCCCCTGGCAGACGAGGCACCGAGGCTGTGACAAGCGACACATCTCATGCGTTCCCAGTAAGAAAAAAGCTGTGCCCATTGGACTCTGCAAACCTTTGCAATTTTTTCGCTCTTCATATCATTTTATTGTCCTTTTCTCTCCTCCTTCTTTCTTGTGTTTGTTACTCTCTTGTAACACCTCTTTGTCTTCGGCACTTATAATGACCTTTTTGTGTTGCAAGTCCGAAAACTTGAACAAAATAGTTATTCTAAGTGTGAAAGAACATACCGTGTAATTTTTTATGTTCTTTATTTATTTTACAAATAATTCATGTTCATCTCGTTTTTACTCAGCGTGTCGTAAAATTATGGTAGGCAATATCTAAAATCACTGAGGGAAATACAGAAATACTTTGTAATTTATGATTACGAGTCAGCGTAATAAGCGGAGCCAAGAAGTAGACGGGATAGAATTTCATATTGCTGATGGACTTTTACGGAAAAATAAACTCGGTATTCAAACAACACGTTTAGCTTTGAAGAGTAGATTATGAACTTTCACTTTTTAAAAATTGCACATCAAGAGAAAACAATGTCCATCTAAACCCCTTCCCCTCCCTACCCAACCCCACACCTACCCCAGTACTGCATCTGTACTTCTGAGTGGGTGTCTTCTCTTCGCTTTCTCTTTGTTTCTTTCACTATGATATTCTTTATTGCTCCAGCCCTATCCCCAACCCATTCTTTTCTAATGTGGTATTCACACATACAGGAGTAATGAAGCCGAGTAAGACCAAATTTCTCAGCCCAGCACATCAGGGCTACTCTGGATACATTTTGCCGAGCAATCGGCCTCCCTCTCCGAGTGATATTTTATGCTCGCCATTATTACTCTGGAAGCTTGCCGAAATTTTTTAACATGCCTAAAATTTTTTCCGAGCGAAAATTGAGTCGCCGAGTCAATAATTCGCTCGGGAAAAACTCGGGACGGGGGG